AAAGGAGTAAGAATCAATATTAAAAGTAGTAAATAAGGATTTAGCCATAAATATTAAATTAAATTACATCAAATTCATCTTGATCTGATTTTGTTTTTAATTCATAGTATTAAATTTTATCACCAGAATATATTTATTACTCACCTTCTTTACTAATATCTATGTATTCCTTTGGCATAGCATTATTAAAGTTCCACTTGTCATCATTATTACAAAGGATTAAATTTTTTATTTTATCGAAATCACTATCACACTCTTCATATGGAGGTTTTTCATTCGCGAGTTCCCATAGAAGAGTCCCAAAACTGAATTATGATAAAAATTTACAAATACAGTAAAACTTGTTAGCAATGCTCATAGTAGAAAATTTGTTCTTGGGACAAAGTTCTGAACTTTAATAATTATAGCTTTAACATATATTGAAATATTGAAGCGATATAAATATTTGTAACAACATCAGACTGTAAATTATTTTATTAGCCTACCTATAAACTTCGCACCTGAAATCATAATTTATGTTGAATGTCAGTGGATCTGGATATGAATGAGTGTGAATACTTCGTTCTAAAATTTCCGGTGCTACATATTCTATTCCAGTATCTTTGAGATTTATTTTTCTCGAATCATTCGCAGTTAATCGGCTATAACAAAAATTTGTGAGTTTAGCTCTATGATCATTTGTAATCAAAATATTTTCAGATCTGATGTTTCGATGCAAAAAGTTCACAGCATTTAGAAACACCAATCCATTACATATGTCGAATGCAATGTTTATCTTGATTGAAATATTTAAAGGTTTGTATTGATTATAATACATTTTTAAATTTCCATAGTTTGACCATTCTGTATGTATATGTATTGAACCTAATCCGTCTTTTACGATTCCGTAAAAATTTGATATGTTTGCTAAACCTTCTAAATTTTTTAAAAGTGTTATTTGTATACGCAACATGTTTGTTTCATGGGAATCAGATGAATAGCAGTATTTTTCGACTCTAATATTTCCATCGTTTTTGGGTTCATTTAGTGAATCTATTGGTAGGTCAGCAAATATACTATCATTAGTAGCAGCATTCTTAATTTCGGTACTTATATAATCAATAATGTCAAACATGCTGCTGTTGTCCTTAAAATTACATCTAAATGCTTGAATAAACTAGAAGAAAAAATTTATGTTATAAAATTACATTATTTATTATGAAATTTATAATTTTAAATTAATTACCTTTTCTGTCTCTTTAATATCTTTTAATATATCTGAAATTTAAATCCAAGAAATGACATAAAATTTTTAAATTCCTTTAATAATTCATCATATTTATCTTTTAGTTTGTCCAATAAAATTCCATGGTCAGTCTCTTGGATATAAGATGTTAATCCTCCGATTTGAGAAATGTTACAAATAAAATCTTTGATGTCTGTGATATTTTGCAAAAGTCTCTGAAAGCATCTATAATTCTCTAATGTTGCGAATGAAGCAATGTTGCTCTTTCGCTTTTTAAGTTTTTCAACATTGTGTTTTGTCTCCATAATACATTCACCTAATACTTCAGAAATTTTTCCATTAAGTTGCACATTACAAAATTGCATCCAATTTTTTTCAAGCTGACAAACACTTTCGAACAATGGTTTAAACGATTCTATAGTGATAGCTTGTTTTAATTCTGCTGTTGTGTAGCTACATATTTGCATATTGTTTGTGAAACTTTCATCATGTAATTTGTTGGTATAATCTTCTACAACAATTATAGGTAAATTTGGCTTATGATGCACCTCTATAATGAATTGAATTCAGAGTAAATTAGAAAATAAGAAAAGAAAATCATTAATTTATTCACTAATTTATTCACTAATTTATTCAATTTGTTTATATCACTACAAACCTGTTGACAAGGTGTTATTAGTCCTTTTTCTCAATATATAATATTTGTTAGCACTTGGTTCTGGTTTAAGATTATTTAGATCATTCAAGATTTTAGAAATTTCAGGTCTAATTGAAGGGTCTGGAACCCAGCAGCTTTCATATATTCTGATATAATCTAACGGCATTCCTATTTCTGGCTTCTCTCTTAGACCACAACAAAGATTAAATGTTAATCCATTGTCGCGTCTGCCATTAAATGGCGAACGGCAAGTATAAATTTCCCACATAAGCACACCAAAACTATAGATGTCAGAAGATTTCTCTTGCGTATTATTAAATCTTCGATTTTGATCTAGAAATCTTGGGTCTACGTAAGCTTGTACTCCTCGAATTTCTGATACATGCCCATCTTCAGATTCTAGAAGAGACTTTGAGAGTCCAAAGTCAGCCAAAAGAGGTCTTTCGTTATGCATTAAAACATTTTTAGAATGCTATAAAATTAATAAAATCACGAAACAGGGAATAATATTAATGCCTAATTCAGAAGTAGCTATCAACAAACGCAAATTTCGCATCAGTCAAAAGTTCATATCAATTTAAATTTGTTTGGTGCAATAGAAAGTGTTGTGATAATTACCAAATCCGATGTATTATTTTCTGACCATGCAGAAATCTCAATCCTTTGAGAATAGATTTGTTTAAAAAAATTTTGTCATTTAAATTTAAGACATTTTTACGATTACAAAGGTAATCTTCTAAAGTGCCGCCATCAGCAAATTGCATAATCAAGATATATTTTCCTGTTCGAGTATCTATAATTTAATTTAATGAATAATAATAAAATTAGACTTTTAATAATAAAAATATAGGACACGATAATTAGAGTTACAATATGATCGGATCATGTTGTTATTTGCATCATCCCTGATAAAATAAATTTTCAGAAATAGATCGTAGGTCAACCATCAGATGTTTGGATTTTTGTGTTTAAAGCTTTATATGAACTAAATTTTGATGAATTTTCTGAAATGAATCTTGGCAGCAATGACCTAATATCGACATTATTGCTCATATTATACGATCATGGGATTTTTTGTAATGAACTTAATTTTGCACTAAGTATGCAGCAATTCTTGTGTGACTAATTTTACCAAAATATACTTGCCTTAACGACAGCACATTAGGATTTATTGCATTTTTCAACCGAATATAAAATTTAAAATTTTTGAGTATTATGTCCGATAAGGGGATTAGTCATGTCACAAAAAATTAGTAGTCTTGTGATTTATCTGTATTCAGGCTATTACTATCGCTATTAATTTTATTCAACTAAAAAGGGTTCTTAAGAACTTGTTTAGATCTCGAATGGTAAGTATTAATAGCCAAATACAGAAATATAGTCTGAGTGGCTTGTATATCATGGGACTTACAATTTTTTTTTGACATGACTAATCTACCTTGCCATCCAGAGTAGTTATTTTGTTTGTGATCGTACAACAAATAATGAAGGTATTTGTTGATTGATGATATTGCGCAATTGATGTTCATGTTTACAAGCTATCATTACAGAGTTTAAATTTTAGATTTTGGTGCTATGTAATATACAAATTAATCCACAATCATATGTGTTTGCACGATATTATTTTTGATGATCTGACCATAATATAACGTAATTTATCAGTAAGCATTGTATTTACCTTGGGTTAATCCGAAGAATTGGATAATATATTTTTTACAATTTTTAGACTTTTTCAAGGAAACCAACTAAAAAATAGTAGAAAGGTAAATTTAGATTACAGTGTTTACTATTTCTCACGTTTAGTACAGTCTAAAGATACTGCAAAATATAAAAAGTATAGACTATCTTATTTTTATTCAATCATATCGAATAATCTTTAGACTGCTCTAATATGTAACATTTTAGTTGGGTTAATTTATATCGATCATTATTTGCGGATTTTGCTACTGCATCCACGAATAACTTATAGGCGTCGCTTTAATAGCAAATGTAAATTCTTAGGTACGCAATTTACAGATCAAATTATATATATATTTTTATACATTAGTTCTAGACTAGCTTACAATGAAATAGAGACATAACCTTTAATAATATTTAATTGAATTTCGGTTTGGCATTGTTAAAGGTTATCGCAAAAATTCATTTCATTGTAAAACTAGTTAGAACTACAGTATAGTTAATATATGTACTGTACGTATGTACTATATAATTTGATCGTTAATGAGGACTTAATGATCGACATCCTAATTATTGTTTGATAATTTTTCAACAAACCTCACGATCGAAATCTCTTAATTGTGTAGGATTTCCACGGCTAACAAATTTCGCTGCTACAAATTTCTTCTTATATAGTCCTTTATAAACGTCACTAAAACCTCCACTTGATATAAACCTAATTATAGACAATTCACGATATTCAATATTGCAAACAGGAGCTGATTCAGAATTATTATCGTGAGCGGGTGAATGAATTGTTGGTTTCAAATGGATTGAATCATTAAATAACTGGTTATTTTTTTGAATTTTTCTTCCGTTATCAATTGGACTAACTTCCAATAAAGAATTATCTAACATATTAATTTGTCTCTTTAAATAATAATGATAGTAGATATACATAGATATAATCAATATATATATATATAAAATATGCAGGAGTATGTTCATAATATAATAATAAGAAAAAAGAAAGAAAAAGATGATTAATTAATTTGCCCTTCATATTGCTCCGAGAAATAGGAAAAACATATAGACTCCTCTAAATGCACACCCTTATGATTATGGTATAAAGAAATGAAGTGTGCACTTAGAGGTGTGTATTAAAGAGAGCAAATATGTAGAATTCTTATAGATTGGGAGTTTATAGATAGGGAATTATCGACTCATTATTATCAATTTCCTCTATTTATTAATGTTTTTCATTATATACAAGCCAAACGGTTAAAATGCCAACTCAGCCATATTTAATTAGTGGTACAAATTCGCTTTGTTTTTCACACAAACACAAATATTACTACTTAATTTTATCAATGATTTGTTAACAACAAATTTCATTAAAACATGAAGACTATTGTCATAGAAATTTCTAAATATGAGTGTCGTTTAGAACAATTGATTTAGGGAATATCAACTTGTCTGTTTTGATCAACACGGATCATAGCCAGGCGAAAAAAAGTGAAAAAAACGAAAAATAAAAGAAAACTAATACCTGAATCTGGCTTGATGCACTAATAAAAAGATGTCGGGGAGTGATTTTACTTATGGCATGTCATAACCTCAACTCAAATAAATGCGTAATTAAAATTATATAAATACACCCTGCTTTATCAACTCACAATAAGTAAATGAATCGCTTTTTTACTTTATCTTATTAAAGGTAATATTTATCGTAACGATATAACCTCATTTATATTAATTAGTGGAAACTCATTTCCGTCGGTTGGATACAAATATGCACCTATATTATTTAAAAAATTTTTAACAAAATGTTTAGGTTTAATTGTAATTGTGAAACTTCTGAGAAAACCATTACATACTACGCTACCCTAAGTGAAGCTTATGATTTTTATTCAAATAATATATGAATATTTTAGACTAGGAAATATTTATGATTCTATCACAAAATTCTGCTATTCAAAATCTCGAAGCCATAATCCCGACATGGCAATTAATATTTAAAGATTAGTAAGAACATTATCAATCATTGTCAGGCTTTAAATTTTTAATTGTCACATCGCGTGATGTCAGTATAATGGTTGACCAAACATTTAAATCAAATGACGCAATAATGGCCAAATGTTGTAAATCTGGTACTTTATGTATAAAGTGATGAAAATTATATGAAATTTAATTTTCTAAAACTTATGCAAAATTGTATGTAATTTATAATTATAATTTATAATTATAATTTATGCAGCACAACATTAAATGTTGCTGATATAATTCTGACTTAACAAATTTCCCAGCTGTCCCAGAATTTAAGAAAAAACTATTAAACTTCAGAAAAACATCTTTCTGTCCTGTTTCACGCCTCTTTTCAAGCCCAATATATATTTTTTCATGTTATAATATTTATGGTCAATGTTTTTTTATAGTTCTCTATCTAACTCCAGATCTCTTACTTTTTTAAAAAAATTAATGCTAAAAACTGAACGTCATAAAGAAACGGATAAAAGAAACAATACCCATTTTGGATTCCATGTTATGTGAAATTAATAATAAACAATTTTAGAAATCAGGTAATTTTTGAACAAAAAATTTTATTCATAATGAATTAATTATTTGGTAATAGAGTTCGCTGTCAATTATAAGAGTATTATATCAACGTTAATGATGGATAATCCGCATTTTTTCAAATTCACGTGCGTGATTCGCGGAATAGATTTTACCTTAGTCTTCATAGGAAGATATGATTGGGGTAATTTATTTATATTTTACTTTCTGAGAACATTAATAAACAATTCGTGAACCCGATTTTTAGATCAGATAGATGTCTATATTCATCTTAAAAATAATCAACTGTCTTAAAGTTAAAACACAGCTAAATAGATGTATACTGGAATAATATAAATACAGTAAGTAATTTCGTAAAATATGTTAAAAAAATACATTCAGTAGATCCTGTTAATTAATAAATGTTAGGGATCACAATGAAATCGGATTAAAATGGTCTATTTACCTTCTTAAAAAACACCTATACTTGTTTACTATAAATTTGACCCTAAAAAAAAAAACCAAAAAATGCATCCGTAATTTTGCATTTTTTGATGGCTTGTCTATTCTATACTATTTAAAGTTCATTTTTTGATTTCATTTTAATCTGCCACAATTATTGCTTGACACATTTATGAAGCACTCCACAAAAATAAAAGTTAAATGCGCGGTCTTTCATAAGTCGCAGTAATTAAAATTGAATACATTAAAGGGATAAATATTAAAAATGAAAGTTATACATCATAACAAATTTATGAAATTAAGCTAAAATTCAGTCACCAAATCTGAGTATTTGGTCCCAATTTTAAATTTTAGTTACTAAATTATATTAATTAATCAAAGTTAAATCTCAGAACTTGAATGATTACGCGTGTCTAACATCTTTCCCACATGTTAAACCATCTTCTTTTGACGTATCTTATTAGACATAGAAATTTATTATAATGATGTACCTTCACCCTACAGCAGAGACAATCCGAATATGGAAATGATTTTCGTGTTAAACTATCATTGTTTGGACCAATCAAAATAGCATAACCCGATTGTTCAACCAATCAAATTACTGATTTACAAAATTTTGGGATTCAAAGGGATTCAAGAAATATGTTGTAAAGCAAAGTGTGAGCTTCTATTTTCTTAAAAAATTTTTTACATTTCTTAGAAAGAATAAGGCACATGAGCCTTTCAAAAAAGTATTGTAAAATAACATAAAAAAATCGATATCAATTGTGTAACAGCTCTGTGTAACAACCCACTGTCTCTGCTGTACCTTCACCCGGGGATAGCAGTTATGGTCAAAAATCATATTGCTTAGTTAGTGGTCAAGTTCTCAAACAAGTTACTGTATTCGCCAATTGAAAGCTTATTCTGAAAAGCTTTACAAGTTGAAATTTTAAATAATTTTGTTAAATTGTTGGCCCTTGATATTATTCTTATTGCCGCATTAATTAATCTCATTAAAAAATGCTACTACACATCAAAATTTGAAAGTATCCACAATAATGACGTAAAATTGGCAGTCCCGAAACCATTTGCATCAACAATTATTATAAAACTCACCTATGGTGGTTTTGCACCTATTATATGTTTTTATTATGTTTTTTAAAATTTTCTGTTTTTATAAGTTTTGTATATAAAATTTTTAACATCAATTTTTTTCACGTTAAAGTTAATATTGGTTAGGATTAGAGGTGCAGGCGGAACTTGAAGTATTGGGATTTGCCATAACGTAACTGAGTTATAACTAGTTATAACTTTTTGCCTTAAGTTACGGTGTGCCGTAACGTGCGTATTTGCCGCAACTTAATTTTATATGTCAAAACTTACCGTAACTCAATTTATATGTCGAAACTTGCCATAACTCAATTTTTTATGTCGAAACTTGCCGTAACTTGTCGTAACTTGTTATATTACAAATACAATTACTTTTATATGAAACTTAAAATTACAATGCCAAATTCTTATTTATTAAGAAAATAAAAGGACAATGTACATATATTTATATTCAATTGCTATTGATTATTCATTATTTTCTTTATTGAAGATCCGAGCTATTAAATTTGCTGTATTGTAATTAAGGTTTCCTGAACCTTCTTGTCGAGTATTACAGGTTAATACCGCATGTTGATTATCAATAAATAAATTATTATTCCCAACGAAGGCTGGGTTTGAAAGATCAATTATTTCTTCGATCAACAAATTAGCACAATCCATGTCACCCGATTGCATATCAATATTGCAAGAACCAGAAATTGGTTCAAAAGAATCCGAAATTTCTTCAGGTTGCTCAAATTCTAACTGACTAGAATTAATTGTTGATCCATTTACACTGTCTTTAAGATCACTTTCTAGTAATTCTTTACCATAGATGTTTAAAGCATTTTTAATGTTTGTATAGCAAAATGATCGAATCTTTGTCATTGCCTCTAAGCGAAAAATATTAAGTCTTGTCCTGCGATCTCCAAACATCCATTTTAAAGTTGAAAAATTTCGCTCACATACGGCTTGTGATGGGGGAATAGAAAAGATTTTGATAGCTAATTCAGCCAATGAATCTTTTTGTGCATCAATAGTAAGCCACCATTTTAATGCCGTTTCTTTTTCTTTTTTAAATGCTAGAGTATATGGATTCTCTTTACGTTTATAGGCATGAAGTTCAGTTAATAAATCCTCACATGACACTTCATCATAACCTAATTCTTGCCACATTGTAGCCGCTGTTTTACAAATTTGGTAAAATTGTCCTTTTTTTAATCCGGTTCCTAAAAATATATTAATGCATATTAATGCATATATACGTAGAATTAAACAATATTATTATAT